GACTTTTGACCGTCGAGCGAGTTCCGGGGCGATGTGAATAGCGGTACGTATCCAGTCTTCAGACATGCTGCTAGTACCACAAGGTACCGTAGGTCGTTCGCGCTACACAATGCGTAAGCATTCTACATTGATCGCCGACAAGCAGATAAAATTGCCCACTCACCCCATATAGCCCATTGTCTGGCCCACACCTTCAGCGACACCACACGTTCGCTTAATCCATCGCGACATGTTGTTCACCGCACGCGCAAGATCGGCGAACGTGACGTGGTGCCATCCTTCGTCGAGGCTGCTGCTTGAACGCGGGACTATAGCCCATGTTGAATTGGGAACAGCCTCAGCTGCAGAGTCGATGTAATCGGCGACGGTAGTTTGCTGTCCTCCTGTATGCTGCTTTTGATGTGTTGTTGCCATCGCTGAGATTATGTATTGATGCCGAGTGTCGATGGTGCGCTGTGTGTGGCGTTGCTTTTAGGGCCCGGTCCGACAGGCAGCGAAGAGAGGGATAGCGTGTATCGATGGGTAGTATACGCGAGTGTTGATTCGGATAACTTTGAGTGATAACAAGATTGGGTACTTCGGCTCCAAGTGAGATCGTAGTCTTCTTTGCTGAGGACTACGAGCTAGATATACTTCGGCGGGCGCTAGCGGGTAAGATCGAAAGCTTATGCCAGCGTAGAGGGCGGTCTGGCGAAATGCGGTGATGTTTCACCGGAAGCATATCCTGTTGCCATGCCGAACGTTCTCCGAATTCTTGTGGTGGAGCATGAGGCATGAAAGCTGCGCAACATGCAGCAGGGGCCCGGCTCGTCCGAGGAAATCATGGAGGGTCTGCTTAGTGTTATCGATGAATGCTGATTAGATCTAGACGCTGAAAGTAATTAATTCCCTGTGTAAGTGGCTACGCGTCGTCTCGAAACATTGACATCAGGTGTAGTGCGCGAAGTTGTGGTGTATGGATGACGCAGTCATGGAGATCCCTGTGCTCATCACCTCGGCCGAGCGAGCATATTAGTTATTGAGCGCGCCGTCAAGGTCGGATGCTGGCGGCTCTCACTAAGCGCAAGTAGAGTATACAATTTCCAGTACTTGTACGATGATTGTGAGATATTTACCATCTTCGTACATCGGAATTTAGACCCGGCATATAAGCCTCAAGAACATGCGGCCCGATGAGCGCCACGAAGCTTGACCAAGAGCTATGATGACACAACCCCACCTGTGCTAGATCCGAGCGGCACGTGCACGCAACCGGATATCTCCCTACATTGCAATGAACAGAGTGCGCCTTTAACTTAGACTGCGGTCTAATTCTTCGGCAGGTTATTAAGAGGGTACTTTGGCACACAGTATGATTGCGATAGCTTTGGCGTTGTTCGCTGGGTGTCTGGTGCTTCCTGTTCTCCCTACATCCTCGTCGACCCACCTATGCGCTTCAGTAAGCTCAGCCAGGGGTCATCGGCTTGGGATGTTGATATTACATTGCATCACGCTTTAAGCAAGAAACTGCCGAACCTGTCTTCCACAGAAAGATCGTATTACGGATGGTATCAAGTAGTCGGGTATCACATAGAGCATCGAACGCCGTCTTATGCATCAATTCATCCTGCAGCAGGTGCAACCCTTGGTGTTTCCTTTTCCTTCTCTCGCCTCTGCGAACCCTTCCTACGTCTTCGCTCCGGCTTATAAACATCGTTGAAGTTGATGTTGACAGCCAGCATCTTCAATTCACCGTCTGGCGAATGCACCAAGTCTCCGAGCAGGATGCTGATTCTCGCTCGGAAGTCTTCCGTCAACTGACTCAAACGCTTCTGTAGGGCTGGCAGAACATCATCTTCGGCCGAACCAGTCATGCCGATCTTGAGGAGTGGGGGTGGGAAAGGCGACTCGTCCTGGCGAGAAGCGGCGCGAGAGTGTGAGGGAGCAAAGGGATCTGAAGATGAGCGATCTTTTTCAGAAAGACCCCACCGACCTGCTGCTGTACGTGTTTCGATCTTGGCCGCATGCTCTTGCCTGCGGGTGAACTCAGCGACTGAGAATGAGTACAAGCCATCCACCGCATCCTTGTATGCCAGCATCGTCTTCAACAACTCGTGGAGCTGCCCGGTGAAGTCAATGCTAGAGCTTCCGAGAAGACCTTTGCGAGTGATGTTGTTGAGGTATATCGCATGAGCTTCAATCATGTCGTCCAGCGTGCTCTCCGGCTTGTTGAGAGCTCTCTGTAGATCGATCCATGATGACTCTATGACTTCAAAGAGGATGTAGTGTTGCAACTGGTTGACAAAATGAACCATCTCGGCCATTGCGCAGCGTGCTTTCTTCCAATCCGCGCCGAGTTTATCGGCTACGGTGCCGAGAACACCACGCGCACCAGTCATGCATCTGCGCCATGTTGAGCCGAGAGCGAACTCGACGCGCTTGACGCGCCATAGGAAGTTGAAAACTTTGAGGTATTGCTTGGAGCCGAATGGCGTGACAATGACATCGACAGGCGCATCAATCTTATATTCGAGCGTAAAGACATCCCATCCAATCTCACCATGTGATAGCTCCAACATGCGTGAGTCAAGGCGACGCAGTACATCTGATGTGTCAAACTGGGCATTGGAGTTGCGAACGGCATGTTCGAGTTGAGCAGTGAGCGTGTGCCGGTATTGCGTGTTGGCCGGTCGATCAAGATTAGAGGAAAGTGATTCCATCAAGACGGCGATGAAGTCGCCAGCGCCGAGCAGCATGTACTGCTTGAGAGCCTGCAGATGGTCGAACAGCTTGAACTTGTTCCCCATCAGGTCGATGAGACGAGCCATAGTGGTCTTGTATGCGTCACCGATAGAGCGCTCGAGATTCGCAGTGTCGCCGTACTGCAGCTCCTTGGACGCTTCCTTGGAGTATGTGTCGACCCATGCGGCGTCTCCACAACCATAGCGAATGAAGTTGAGGGTCTTGCCGATAAGGAAGACCTTCTTGGCAAAGTCGTCGGTAACGATGGTGGGAACCATCTTGTCGTTCAGTCTGTATTTATCTTCCCAGACGCTCGTCGCGCCACCTTTGCCCTCGTTTCCATTCGCCTCAAGTATATCATCCTCGCTCTGTTCCGAGACGAAGAATTCGCCAAAAGGATCGGCAAGCTCGCCGTCGTAGACCCATTGCCGGAGCATGTCGTAGAAGGGTCGCGTGACATCGGAGAGAAGGCGCTCGGCAAAGTTCATGACGTACGGGTCGCCGTGGTTGAGGGAGAATGAATGTATGAGGGCAATCAGCTCGCCGCCCTTCTTGCTTTTGGATTCTTCGACCATTAGGCTCATCAAGCGCAAGCCCATGGTCGGCTCTCTTATCCAGATGACGCATCGCTTGAGAGTGACGCCGGCCTTGCTGACACCCTGGGGTGAGGAGGCCTCGTTCAGCTGTGCCAGCGCTCTTTTGATCTGTCCCTCCAAGGTCGCGACCAGGCCCAGGTATGCTCTCAGCTCCTTGGCTAGAGCTGCGCGGAAGCTCTGCTCGATTAGGCCACCATCGCTCGCCTCGACAAATTCGGCCAAGCCTTTGTACAGTATGGCGGGTTCAGCGAGAGTGTGTAAGAGGCTGACGATGGGTACCGGGAGGGTCGTGGGAAGCTTGAGGGCGGTCGACGAGGGGAATGCGAGGTTCGTCGACGAATAGCCCTGCAGTGTGAATGGTAACTCTCGCAGCAAAGTCGGCTCAGAGGGCCCCGTCTCTGCCTTTTCGACATGTCCACCATTGGCTTGCTGCTGCTCCTTGGCGGTGTCGGGCCGTCTACGCTTCTCTGGCTTCTCAGCTATCGAAGCTGGACGTGTAGATGGCGGTGCTTTGGGCGATCCGGCATTGACAGGCAGCTGGGCGAGGCCGGGCTTTGCAAAGGCGTCTTGGATGGCGTGGGATGAGGCAGCCACGCTCTGGCGCTTGGAAGGCGTCGTCGGTTCGCGCGAGAAGCTGCGGCTATCTTGGGCGGGCGGCGGCTCGTGGGGTGCTTCGGTGTTGTCGGAGAGGTTGTAGAGAAAGTAGAGCATGCGCCATTTCTGGTCGAGGACACTTTGTGTCTCAAGGCGCGAGAGAAGGTTATGCAGACGCGCGCTCTTGCGCTGGTCGTTGTTGGGGCCCGATACTGTTACCTATTAGCGAAAGACACGTGATTCACCGCGTTGCACGTACCCTTGCGGTCTATCAGGCTGGCGATGTGCTGGACGTCGGGAACGAGTGAAGCATCGCCCGCAGTCGTGAGCTCGTCGAGAGCGAACTCGTAGGCATCTTCAAAGCGCTGATTGGCCTCGTCTTCATTCTCATTAGGATCTTCGGGCACGATGCGAACCAGCAACTCGTTCAACGCGTGTTCGACGCGCTCGCGGTGTAGTGTGGCCATGATGGCGCGCTGGATGGGCGCGAGAGTCCATTGGTGTTGACCTCGGCGGGGTTGACGCCCGCCCGTGCGCGTTGCCCAACCTCGAGCCAACGCGTCACTCTTGCCTTGTCACCTCCATAGCGGGCCACAATGCGTGTCTTATCCTACCAAAATGTTGACTGGGAGTATACATCGTCTTAGATGCTACCTACTTGTTAAAACGGAATATTGTGTATGCAGCGATTGCTCAATGCGACATCTCGCAAATTTCGGTGTCACCCGTCACCCGTCGTTTGCACTTTGAATGCATCACCGTTTGCAATCAGGTAGGGGGCTATCGGTGTCGTTATGGATCTCTCATTTAATGTCTGGTACGAAATGGCTACGAGCTTTTGTCCCCCAGGCTATCAACATCATCCCGCATACTAGAGTATAACTTCTATGACCAGCCCGGACCAAGACCAGGACCAAGCCCCAGTCTGAGTCAAAGACGCATTACTCTTGGTTGACTACAAACATTTACATTTTGGTTCATTTAGCAACAGATCTTACGATACGTCTTCGCACCACTGCACTTCCGACAATACAGAAGGGATACCCGACGTGAGACCGCCTTGAGAAACGACGCTCTTCAGCCGCCGATATGGGCACCATGGAGAAGGAAACCGTTCATTCCTCAAGACGGCCCAAGCTCCTCACCTACGAGGAGATCCAAGAGTGGTCGCGAGACAACGAGTTCATCCGTACCGGCTATCGCCCAGAGAAGCCCGAATACAAGGACATCTTCCTCAGCCTAACCTACCTACACAACGAGACCTGCAATGTATACACCCACTTGATCGGCGCGATACTGGTATGGCCTGTCGCATACATCTACATGCAGATTTTGGCTAAGCCAGAATATCACAACGTTTTACCGGCAGATTATGTCATGTTCATCATCTTCTTCTTCTCTTGCGAGTTCTGTCTGCTCTCCAGCGCTGTCTACCACCTGATGCAACCCCACTCGCATAAATTGGAGCAGTTGTGGCATGTAATGGATCTGACTGGTATTGCCGTCATCATCGCAGGTACATTCGTTGCGGCTATATACTACTTCTTCATTTGTCAACCCGCCTTCCAGATCTTACACTGGGTTATTGTGAGCCACTTTGAGCGAACAATCCCGCGATATACTGATATTCTCTCCAGACCATTGTCTCAGGCTCGGCCTGCGTCGCTTTGATCTCGATACCAAAGTTCAGGACACTGCGCTGGCGCATTCTAAGAGTGGTGGCCTTCTTCCTCTTCGGACTATCAGCTTTCGTTCCCTTGCTGCATGGAGTCGGCCTACATGGGTCCAGGTACATGTTTGATTACATGGGTATGAAGTGGTACCTGATCGAGCTTTCCTTGTATGCAGCTGGCACTCTCATCTTCGCGGTAAGTGAGATCATTGACTCTTGTGCTTGGATGGACATGTGAACTGATCACCACATGCAGACCCGGCCGCCCGAACGGTTCGCTCCGGGCAAGTTCGACTTGTTTGGCTCCTCGCATCAGATATTTCATCTCCTCATCTTGGCCGCCATGTGGGTCAACTGTCTGGCTCTTACGCAGAGTTTTAGATCAGTCCATACGTTGGATTTATGTCACCGCTAGGCTACTCTCGCAATGCGAAGACAGATGACAAGAAGACCTGCTGGCTTTGCACGTTGCGAAAGAACGGGGTTTAGTGAGCTTATGATGGCTGTAGACGCTGAATAAACTGGGTAAGCAGTCATCAGTTTGCTCAGTCTTGTCGACCTGATATGTATCTTTAGCGCTCCTAAAGAATATTTCGCGAATACTAACGCTTTGTTCAAGTGTACTGTGTTCTGCCAATGCATCGAGATTCGGCGATCTTGTAACATTTAAGTCAGAGCACCACATTGCTGCTAACGCGGTATGAAAAGAAGAATCATAACATTTTGCTACATATTGCGAGGAATTACTGACAACGTAATGGAGCCGCCCTTTACATAGTCGCTCGAACAAGAAGGAACGCAACAGCTAATAGTTTCAAACGAAGATGTCACCTGAGCCGCCATCATCCTGGTCGTTGTCCACGTACCTGCATCTCGACTACTACCCGATTGCGATTTTGACGCCACTGCTGCGATCGATGCAGGCCTCTGGCAATACACCGACTCCGATTCGTTCGTAGGTCGGAGGAACCGTGTTCGGCGCGGCTTCAACTGTAAGGAGCACATGGTGCTCCTTCTCGTTCTGATCCTTCTGTTGGGACGAGCAGATGATTACTGCCTTGACTTGCCCTTCGGCACGTACTGTATCGTCATCGAAGTAGAGGCCCTGCTCGCCGTGGAGTCGCGAGGTGACTGTGAAGCTGAACGCCCTTGCGGCGATCGCGTCGCTTTCTGCGAGGCTGTCCGCAGGACGTTGAGGGAGGGTCTTGCGTTGATCTTGCGTCATCCGCCTCTTCAACGCTGGGGGCAGAGTGACTTCTGACGTGTTCCAATCCACCTTCCCGCCTTGTGGGTTGAGAAAGTCGATACCACCTAGGACAGCCATCCACGACCAAGTTGGGGCCAGCTTGATGGCAAAATTCCCTTGCGCTACTCGTTCCATCGGCACGCCATCTTGCGGACGCCGCCACAGCAAGCAGCGTCCCCAGAAAGTCCCAAACAACCCAAAGAGACTATCAGTCTTGAATGCGGTTGCCAGACGGGCCATGAGACCTTCAATGGCGACTGATCGATCTGGTGGACGCGAGAGTTCGAGCAAGGTATACTCCTTGAAGAGTGAAGTCCAAAGACGAATCTGTTTACCACGAGTGCCATCTTGTTCAATGACTTTGCTGGGGAAGCGCGCATCTCCGAGCAAGGAGATTCCGTCACTACTCGATGTTAGCAGGCCATCGCGGTTAAGGCGTAAATGAGGCTTACTGCTTGAGCTTTCGTAGTGTCTCACATCGCACACTATCTCCGCATTCCCAGTACATCTGGTTGGCTGTAAAGAATATCGTCCGGCGAGCTAGTGCATGCTCTTGCAGTACCCATCCGCGTCGATGCAAAGGGCTTTCGAGCACGTCTCGTGTGAAATCGTTGGTGATAGCAGAGACGAAAACGCTGCCGACCTTCACAGCATCAAGGTGGGAATTGCGGCCGAGAAAGCCTTCTTGCGCTCCGTTGGCGCTTGACGCCGCGATCACACAGTAAGCGTTGCTGTATATAGTCCGCATGTCGTCGGCTTGTTCATCGAAATCGCCGTCGTCATCCTCACATCTTTGATTGATGCAGAGGGAGTCGATCCAGAGGTAGTCGCAGCCAAGCGCTTTGGTAACTGCTATGGCGTCTTTGAAACTTCTTGGTAGATCCTTTTTAGGGATGCGGCTTTTGCGCGTTTCAACGTTCTTCGCAGTCGTTACAAGAATCTCCTCTCGGCCCCACTTGTGCGAGAAAGCAAGGTATCGAATCTGATCCTGCCCGCCATCAAGCTCTGCAGATTCGACCAGTTTGGGTTTCCTGACATCGATCAATCTCTTAGGCAGTCGGTACTTCTGGTTGGTCAGCTCGCACGATTGCTCATGAGAGCTATCGCATTGGCCCAGCCATGCCTTTGGCAGCTCCCAAAATGAGTTTCCCAATCTTGGATCGCATGGGGGCTTGAACAGTTGACGCGCACCTAAAGATACATTGGTATCATCCAGTGAACTATCTGGATACGAGTCAGCTTTGTATTTACAAACTACCTGTAACTTACCGTATGTGGCGCAGCACACTCTGAGGAGCTTTAAGGTCTTCGTCGCCCCACAAAACACGAAGTGGTCGTCGTCTCTAGTCAGTGTGAAACTTTCTAGTTCCTGCAACTCCGTTTCGGCGATGACCTTGTATACTAAAGTACAAAGTGGACAGTGTTCAAAGCTCTTTTTGAGGCGCCTGTTTTGGAAAGCCAGTGCCGAAGCCATCATGTCGACTTTCGCGCAGTATTTGCAAAGCTCCTCTTCGTCGTCAGCGTCCTCAAGAGGATATTTGTCAAGCATATTCTGCGCAAATTGATGGTCATCTGGGTACTGCCACGTCTCGATCATGGCATCTGTATAGTCCCGGTCCTGAGACAGTCTTGTGGAATGACCCACTCGCTTCGGGTTTGGGAGGAGGCGAGCAGTAGAAGGAGACAGAAACTTGGGGGTGTTGCTGGGACCTTTGTAAATGACGCTTGGATCAAGTCTGTTGGAAGTCTGAACGTTTGAGGGACTTCCTTCGCTAATGTAGGCTGGGGGTGGAAAGTTCTCAATGCCGTCGAACAGATACACCGGGTCTTCGGATGCCGTCTCCAAGATTGAAGCCAGAACCGTCTTCATGTCTTTCGCGTTCGTCCTCTTCCCGGGCTCGTAGACGTCAGAGTCACGCGGGAGCTCTATCTGGAGTAGACGCTCCTTTACGAGGAGAATTAGATCCCCGATCGCACTAGGCTTTCGCCCTGTATCGTGCTCGAGGATATGGTTCATCCAGCGGGTCACCCCATCGGTCACTACGTAGCTGGAGCCTTCAATTTTCTCCCAGTAGGGCGTGAGGCCAGGGCGTCTCTCAATTTTCTGGAAAGTCTCTACGGCGTCGTAACCATAGACCAAGCAGACAACTGTTTCGAAGATAACACAGCCCATGGACCAGATGTCGAAGAGACGAGAGATCTTGCCATGGGCCTGCCGGAAAAGGTCTTCGGACAAGTCTGGTGGTTCGTAGAAGATTGTTCTGAAGTCTTCTTTCTCTTTTGACTTCCTGAACTCGGTCTTCTTATCGTGCTGCTGAGCTCTTCCAAGATCCGCCAGCTTCAATATGCCAAACCAATTGCTTCCGTTCTTCCCATTGAAGCGAAGAATATTCTCTGGTTTGATGTCTCCATGCCTCCAATTCTTATGATCGAGGGATTTCCTGCGAGCAAAGGGATTGGGTTCAGGTTCAGATCTAGGTTCGTTGATGGTTGGGTTCTTGGCCGGTCTACTGGAATCAAGGGGCACTAAGGACGACGCATCCTGCAATTGCTGATTATCTTGTGAGGTCGGGAGATTTAACAGCGGTATTGCAGCGCCTGCGATAGGAGCCACAGTTGGCATGTCAGGCGCGGTTCCGTTCGCTTTGTGTGGAGAGGACTGCGAAGATGTGGGAGATTCGGTGTGCATGCAGTCGACCGCATCAGCGAGTCCAAGAAGCTGCTCAAGCACCTCTTTGAGGCGTTTGCGGCTTTCTTGGAGATCGTTGTCCAGCAAAGGCCCCTTGCAATCTTCTAAGAAACTTTGGAGGTTACCCCCGTCGGCCCATTCGAGAACGATGTGGTAAGTATCGTTCCCCTTGCTTGCTGCCTTCTGATGATATGCTCCAATACCCTGCACAAGGTGCTTACTTCTGCCATTGAGTTGCTTATGAGCTTCGGCCTCGCGTTCCCACTCCTGTCTAACGTTGTAGTTCTTCAACTTCGACATTAGTTTCAAAGTCTTGTGAGCCACGAGAATGAACACCTCTACGGTATAGGACAGGATCGTCTGCCTCGTAACAAGCATGTACACACATTTGACGTCGCTGAAGTAGCCTGCGCCACACTCTTTCAGCTCGCCCGTAGCCTTGAATGGCAAAAGTCGTTTCGAGTCGAACGTGTAGCGGAAGATCTTGTGATCAAGCTTTGGGATGAGGAACTGCCAACGTTGCGCTTGAAATCTCTTCAGCGAGACCAAATTCCAGGGTTGTGGGTGCGCGAAGTAATGCGCGCAATTTTCCTCTGTGCATGGGTGAGAGCCACACATGCTCAGATTGTCCGCGTCTAAATGTTCATCCGTGAATGCTTTGAGCTTGAGCTGCTGCATAGCCTTTTTGCGATCCTTAGGCTGGTCAAATACTAGTTGCAAGGTTGCGAATGTCTTCGGGGCGACATCTCGGATGTAGTTTACAAGATTGACGTTTTCTTGGCCATCTTTGAGCGCTGCCATGATGGCATCAGTTCGAAGAAGATTTCGAAGCGCTTGGTCCGGCACGTAGTGACCCTCCGGCTGCAATCCGATCGGATTCACTTCCAGTAGATCGTTGATCTCATCACGGAGATACTCGGGTCCAAGATTTCTGTAGATCGTGTCGCGCGTGTCTTGCTCGATGTCTTGCTGCGCGCCTGCCGTGGTCTCGTCTGATGAAGACGCAATCAGACGGAATTCGAAAGTGTGCTCATCTGTCTCTGGTTCCATATTGGACGTGGCGACATATGGGGATTGCGCGCTGTCACTACGATAACGTGGTTTACCCGAGCTGGTTGACCCATGTCCGAGGCTATCTGGTTCGGGATGAAGGCCATCTGTTGCAGTCATTGAAATGGGCATATTTCTGTTGCGGTGATTGGTATCAGAGTCCATTGCGTTGCTGTATTCCCACGAGACTTCCTCTTGGGATTACTGCAAGGATGACCGACAATCGCCTGAGGCCGCTCTTCGTCTGAAAAAAAGGCGAGGGTTTCTGGTGGGACAAGTAGCGCGGAAACGCTAGGATTGGGACGTATCTTATGCAAGTAGGAAATCATGCTAGGACAAGTATGTCGTACATGCAGAGTATGATGCTGACTGGCACTGTCAGATCCTTTGTGATAACTACGCCTCGATTCTGACGGGTTAGTTTCAAGGCGCTACGCTAGAGGGATAGCCACAAACGCATGATACAGGGCGTAGCGAGCCGTGAGATCGTACTGAAAGTGGCAACGGTCACCCAGCACTTGGTTCCAGATCCGTCTTGTCGATGTGAGATGACAACGCACGCAAGAGCCAGCTGATCTGTGTCCGTTCAGATGCTCGACCAGAGCGATATTGATTACAGTTGGATCAGAACTATCACTTGCTTATGCCTGTAATTGGGCTGGTGCGGTAAGAGCAAGCCTTCCAAGGTTCCTTTTGTTGCCAAGAGTATCTTGTGACTTGGCCATGCCTGAAGTCATAGCGAGCGCCACGCTTCTAGGCTTCTTCCGGTATCTTATCGTCTCTGACGCTATCAAATGCTTGCTGAGACGGTGATGTTGATTTGGCAGAATACAGAGACTGACGGAGCAAGGTCTAGCGAGGATGTAGGGTTCGCTGCAGCTACACAGCCGTGCGCCATGCATGACTGTAGATTACCGTCTCTTCGCATTGACGTGATTGAGCGTGCAGTTAACCATCCACCGACTGCAGCAAGTTGCTTAACGATTGGACGCTCGAAAGCCATATTCTGGAATCGAGGAAGTCGGTACCTAGGTAGGTGTGCCAACCGTTCGAGCTGTGGAACGATTGTCACAAGGCTGAAGCGTCGGCACGCGCAAAGTCGAGATCCAGATTGCGTGAACAGAACCAGCCACACTACGATATTCCTGCTGCTGACATGGGACCCACACGTCTTTCACAGTGGATGGCTTCCCTTCTCGGCGTTCCAGCTGAAGAAGACTTGGCTGCCGATACAAGGCGTGAGTTCGAGATTCTCGCAGCGTTTGAGCTTCAATTCTGGGACATGACCAAGGATACATAAAGGCAGAGCATTGAAGCTGTGTTGCATGGCATGGACAAAGCGTTCCGCGGCTTGAGGAAGTTCTGTTTCTTACTACGGAGCGGCCCTGCCGTCGATCCAAAGCTTGATAGGATCGGTGCTTCCATCCCGCTTAGAAGCAAGGATCTGAGAAGCCACCATTAGTGTAGTACGCAGGCCCTATGGAGGTCCTCCGCGATGCAGTTGCAGCCGCGTGATAATGTGCCCAGAACGCAAGCTGGACCACGCGCGGTACGATCGACAGCTCCGAACACTGGAACGATTGCCCAGTATCTAATCTTGTCAGTCTTGAATGGCTAAATTACGAAGATGAACGGTCAAGCTTCAGTCGCCAGGCTGGAGCTGGTACGACGCGGCAGAGAAGGTCCAGCCCCACCGCGCTAGTCTTGACCTCGGGAGCCATCAGCCGTGGACGTCACTCGAGGTCCTCCTTCTTCTCCGTATCACAGCCTTGAACGCGTCACTCGAACATTCCATGTAATCAGCCCCAGTTGCCTTGTCGCCGGTCATGTTCAGCCAGCCATAATCAGCCAGCCATTCACTGCAGATAGTGCTATTTGCAGGCCCACGTGTGCGGCCGCTGTTAGCTATTGAAACTCGCACATGTTTGTCTGCCTGTTTTCCCCACGATTTCCCAACCGCTATGGAGACAACCAGTACTTACCGGGAGCGATGATGTGAAGGCGGAAGCAGTGCCATATTTGCCGCATCCCAAGGGTTTGATCTCCTAACATGTTTCAGCGCTGCAAAAGCGATCGAGACCGAGTTCTGGAGCCTTTTCCATGTTTCAACGACGATGATATCCGAAGCGGTGGCGATGCTGCAGTCCAGAGAACCTACCTCCAATATGAGACTATAGCCGGCCCTCACGACCACACAATGCGCATTAGAGAGACATGATCTTTCGCCTGGGCATCGATCTCAAGAAGCCTCGGGGCGAGTCATGTGCGGATTGATCATTCATGAACATCGTTGCATCCGAGCCCACCCCAATATACCAGAGCTGAAAGGGATATTATGGTCCACAGCCATTTCTAAAACCCCAACACTTGATGAGGCGGTAGTTGCATCTGTGCTGACTTTCACGTGTGCAGAGCACGGTAACCCCGGGGCCTGGTCGATTTCCTTGAGATATGTATTGGTGCAGGGCTAAGCTGCCGCGCTACACTCAATCTATGCGTTCAGACTTTTAAGGCGCAATAGTTGCTCAACTGATTCCGCAGGAAATCAAGTTGCGAAAACCGATACCCATTTCGGAAAATCAGGATCATGACAGATAGCTGTGCTGGCGGGTGAACTAATTCCCATTGTCCCATGGTCGTATGTGCAAGAAAGAGTAAAATGTCTAAGTGACCGGCCAGTACAAGGGCTCGAAGGGGAATGCGACAGCCAACCCCCACCCTAAGCATCCCTAAGCATACTAGCAACTCCCGCCCAAGTCTCCAGCACAGTCGGCCTTATCTGATTCGCCGGCAGCGTAAACCCATACGTGCCCTTATCCCTCAACTCATACGTGTAAGAGTACGTCGCATTACCCGTGACATCAGTGTAATCGGTCGAAGAACCAGTTGTGGCATAAAGCGTCGCGCAGCTGGGGCCAATGGTGTAAGCGGTACCGGAGACGGCGCGGATAGCGGACTGGGCGCGGGTGGCGATGGAGCGGTGCTGGGCGTCGTTTTCGGCGCGCAGGTTGCAGTCGTAGCCGTAGGGCCAGAGGATGTATTGGCCGTAGGAGCTGGGTGGGGTCAGTGGGAAGTAGATGGGTATGGGAAGGTTGGATACGTACTGCACGTCGAGGTAGAGACGGATACCGCGCGACGCCTTGAGCGAGTCGACTTGCGCCTTCAGGCCTCGGAGCTCGGGGGCGTCGCCGGCTGCTACACCTTTGTAGGTCTCTGAGCAGGGGTTTGTGGATGCTCCACCTGTGACTTCCCATTTGTAGGGCCAGTTACCTTGGAGAACTGTCAGTGATGTACTCATCTGTGAAGGTGAAAGTACACTTACGGTTGATGTCACGGCCGACACAGCTGTTGCCGCTCACAGTCTGCCTGTTCTTGCGCCAGAGACGGTCGGTTGTCTGGGAGTAGACGAAGCCATCTGGGTTGACGATGGGTGTGATGTAGAAGTCGAACTTGTCGACGAGGGACTTGATGTTTGCGTCCGAGCCGTACTTGGTGAGTAGTTGCCACGCGAAGTACCTGTTTGGTGTTAGCAGATGAATTCGGGTTTTATCAAAGCTGACATACTCCGTGGTCATGGATGTAATCCACTCTCGTGCGTGAACGTTGCCGTGAATGATGACGGCAGGCTTGGAGCCCTTGCCTCCGCTACCCCAGATGTGGATACCAGTCAAGGCTCGTCCTTGGACAGAGGTGCCGACAGTGACAATCTCAGACTGACCGGTGTAACCAGCCTGCAGGTCCCGGAGGAACTGGATGTGGTCGGCGTATGGGTGGTATGCAGTGAACCAGCTTTCGCTAGGAACTGAACATGATTAGTAAATGTCATCGCACAAACAACACTTTTCACAAACCAGCATAGACGCTCATCTCTCCCTCCTCGGCAAGCGCTGCACCAACATCCTCGTTGAGCACCTTGCTCTCAGCCACCAAGGCAGTCAAGGCGTCGACGTTTTCGGGTGAAACGACGACATCCAACTCAGCGGATGTGCCGGGGTTGAGGATGTGGGCAGCCAAGCTCTCGATCTCTGCCTTGACAGCATCGGTGCTGGCTACACGTAGTACCTTGAAGCCATTGTAGTCGACCTTCTTGCCAGCCCTTGGGACGACAGTGGCAAGTGCAGTGGAGGAAAGAAGGAGCGCCGAGGTAAGAATGGTGGTCTTCATGATAGGCAATGAATGCAACAACAGTTGTGCAGTGCAGTGCGGAACGATATTGCGGAGAGCCTGCTTTTAAGTCGTGTAACCGTCACCCCAGACCACAAACCACCTTCCCATCCAGTGTGTAGTACCGCGGACACCGTCCTACCTGTTACCCCAAGTCTCGCATCGATTAGGCAGGTACTCACCCCGTACTCCTGGCTGATCTCCTGCAAGCACGGGAGATGTACACTCGAAGGAGCTCAACGTAGATGATGCAAGCGCGGGAGGCTAGCAGTCCAAGGAATTCGGAACTCCACATCAAGATCTGGACGGCGGTTTAATATACAGCATCACTTGGCATGTTCTCTGGACGACGTGGGTAGGAGAGTGTGATTGGTGCGGAGGCGTTGAGCTTATCGCATTAGGCAGGTGCGGGTTTCGGAGACTGCGCTGGCTTGTCTTGGCTACGAGATAGGCCAAATACAAAGTCTAGGCAATGCCAGGTACGTGATCTCGTGGTGCTCGTTAGCATGTTGACGTGCTGCAGTTTGGCGAGTACCTTGGCGAAGCGAGTGCCTGGATGGGAAGGAGGATGAAGATTGACCAGCCTGGATGCGCCCCAGTAATAACCTGCTCGTATGCGTGGAATGCGAACAGCATCACCGCGTTCTCTCAACAACTTGGAACACCCAGCTCTCTCAACACGTTCGCGTAGCCGAGCCTCAACCACTCATCCACATGCTTCTGTCCCGATATCCATACGCTTCCTAGCATGCCTCCAGCATTCGCGCTCGCTCCCTCTGTGGTTCCTCTGCGACGTGGAACAATCACGAGACGGTCGGCCCACATGATGACGTTAT